CTAATCAAAGGTATCCAGTTAAATTATTACATTACTTACAGCACAGACTGATTACTATAACTTATCTATGCATATATCAGCCCAGCAAAAAAGCCATACATACCTTAAACTGAGAAGTTTAATAGTCAACTTTGAACAGTTTGGTGAGTAGAGCTGTCTGGAGACTTTGTTATAGTCTCACTGTGTAATGATTCATGCACCCTTTGAAAAATTTTCTCCTCCACTTTGGCTTTGAACAGGATCTATTCATACAAGAACAAAAGCACAGCAAAAAAAACTCAGGCAAGGGAACATAAAAATGCCAACAGAATGTTAATGAAGAGTAGATACTACAAAACTACTACACCATATTTTCACAAGGTTTTTCCATCATAGTTCTCAAGAACTTCAAGATAAAGTTCCATGCTGCTGAAAATTAAAGCATATAATATACAACATAACATATATTATACAGCATGATTGTTTAATCATATTTATGTTATGATACTGAGAAATTATAATTTCAAACATAACACATTACTGTGTCTAATAGACTTACTTTGAAAAACACATATAGGATTGTGTTGTCCTAGGCCTAGGTCATACCTGCAAAATTATTCCATTTTTCCCCACAATACAAACAGCATTGTAAAAAGAGGATCAGAAGAAAAAAGGAGTCAGAAACTTAAACATGGACAGTGGTTGTATGTCAGAAACTCAAACATGCCCACTTGAAAGTATTATTAATTCCAAATGTCTTTTAACTTTCATTAAAATGAAAGGTTAAAAACAAGGTTTGAAAATACAAACAATATTATTATTCAATATTTCCATTTAGTCCTTTACATAAAAACTGCACATTATTATATGAAATGCACATTTCTATATATGTCGAGTTTTGTAGAGAGAAATTTAGAATAAAGATAAATATATATTCTCTCATAGAATATTAGAATACTTTTGTTTTATATAATCTTTAACTCTCTACTTGTTAAATTAAATACTATTAAAAATGCCATCTTCTCTTAAGCAACTGGCACACTGTTTACTGGAATGATGACATTTTGTACTGCCTTAACATTCCTTGAAACTAAAAAACAACTCCAGCATAGAAGTCTGAAAAGCGATATTTCTGTCTATGCTAATTTTAAGAGAGAAAGTATTTTGAGACACTATTTTTTCTTGGCAAAAAGGAAATAGATGGCACAATTATAATACCTAGCTTTTATCTGTATGCAATTGGTCTCATGTACTGAATGTACTATCCAACCTATATCAGACTTACATATACACTCAGGTTATATGCATACATCAGATCTGGTGCAAATCTTCAAATGGCCATTAGATAGCAGCCCACATAAACTAGCTCTAACTCATTTGTTTTGTCAATATAGCCATTAAAAAGCCATTTCACTTATTGTAGTGTCCTTTGTACACACTTCTCCACTGTGCATAAAGTCCTGCTCCCAAACATGGGTTCAAACATAGTTAGTAATAGGGGTATCTACAAAGCAAGGTTTTTTAAAAATCCTCAAAATGGTCATTTGACTAAATCTCTGCTTGTTTTTATCTGTGGCACCACAGACACAAGAACCAAGCAAAGCTTAGATTCCAGCATCATGGCTACTTTTTTGACTCATAGACATCTCTGGTTTGCGTGAAGTTAGGGCAATTATTTTCAGCAAATGAACTTTGCAGCCAAGATGTTTTGAGACCAGGTTAAGGATAGTTTCATAAATGAGGGATGCTCAATCATGAACCCTCTTCATTAGAAGGCAAACAGATAGATTTGCTCATTAACAGTCGCTCAAGTCATCCAGGAGTGGTTTTTTTCCACTTCAGTATATCTTTGATTTTTTTTTCTTTTGTTCTCCTGGGGAGAAACGTGCATTTCCCAAGAAATCTCAACTGTAGCCATTCTCTATTTTCCATTTTCCAAGAATGCCTCTGTAGTTTATATGGGGAGGCGAGGAAATGTTGAAAACATAAGCTACAGTTGAATTTGGTGCTTTGTATGCATAAAACAGAAAACATGTATTGTTTTGAACTTGAAACAAACAGTCACATTCCAGCAGTTCTGTCAAACTGTTTCTGGCTGGCCACAGTTCAGCTGAAACTAAACCTAGAGATGTTGGGTTGTGCTGGATTTCAGCCAAAACCAAATTTGGAGGATTCCAGAGATTCTACAATAGAAGGCTGGCAAGGGTACCTTAATCTTTCTGCTGTATAATTGTGTGCTGGCTGCCCTCCATTTCTACAGTGCTTTCCTCTTCCTTTATGTCTATGGAAACTGCTGTTGATGCCCTACAATGGTGTATCTCACCAGCTAGTCTGCCTCCCAACCTTCCTAACTCTTGACTTTCTTTCCTCCCATCAGCCATAACTGATATTTTTGATACTTGCAGTCAGCATTTCCACAAACACTCCCTATGTTTTTCTCATTTGTTCCTCTGCCCCTACTAAATCACTTCATCCCTAAAGGTACATTTCCATTCATTTTTTGGAAAAAAACCCAATCATTTCATTCTGCATATGGACAGAAACATCAGAAATTTATATTTTGGTTTGTGAATAGAACGTTCTGCACATTCCCAGATCTGGGCTGGGCTTTGCAGTCAACTTTTTTTTTCTCTTTCCTTTCTTCCTTCCTATTAAAAGTCAGATGGAGTAAGGAATTGAGCAAACAGCACAGAAAATATTCATAACCTTGTTGGGGATGCAAGTGTTCAGTTACAATATGGATTATTTGGTATAATTTTATCAAGTTCCGTGCTCTGTCAATCACGATTTAGGCATATAGCAATGATAGAAATATCTGATCAACCTCATCCGGTTTTGCAAAGCTAAATAGGATCAATTGTGTTTAATACTTGCAGGAAATTACCATGCCTAAAAACTAGAATAGACAAGCATCCTGGAAAAGGGCAAGACTAACCATCTTCATTGTGTCGTCACCAAAGCTACATAATTTCCTTGTAAGAGGTGCATGCCAATGCCTCAATAACAAAGCAAAATAGCCCTCTTGACTTTTTTGACCCCCCACAATCCCTATATGCTTGTATCATGAGGGTTTTTTTTTGCCACATGATTCTTGATAACTCCATCAACTGAGGCGAATGCAAGGTAAANACGCACCAAGTCCAACCAGGGCAGTGCAACCCCTTCCATGGCCAACAATGGTAATCATTGGTAATGAGAAAATAAGGTGAATCAGGGAAGATATTTCAAATTCAGACATGCAGAATAATGTCTGGATGAGATACTTTCAAAAAGATAGAAATTGTCAGAAAAGAGGAATACCTGCGTCAAAACTTTCTGATAAGAAACGAGTATGATTAAAAAGAAGCACAAAAAACAAAACTGTAAATGATTAACAATCATTTATATGATTGTTGATGATTAACAATTATTTACACTTATGAGTTGGTTATTTGTGCTTTTTAATCATTTGGCGTTCCTTTTCCCCCAGACATAATAGGAGTAGCAGTTGTCTGGGACCGTGCCTCCAAACACTGAATTTTTGTTCATTCTACAAAAAGTATCATTCTAGATAAGACAGAAATGAAAAATACAAGTAAGAGTCTATAATAATAATCATAGGAAAGCACTAACACTGTAGATAGAGGAATACTGGAGGAAGTCCAGTAGGGGGCAGAACTAGTACACAAGTTGAAGTTCAGTCAATTTGAATTAATAAGCAGATAAAAGATTTTGCTGTTACCTTCATTGGAAAGTAAAAGTATAATAGGTTTTAGATAAGACTGCCTTCAAAAGTTCACTGCAATCATTTTAAATAGATAAATGGAGGTGAGGAGCAAGGGTGTGGACAAATGCAGAAAAGTCGCCAAGCAGAACAGCATCCAGTAGAGAGAGAAACACCCAGGTGAAATGATAGGATATAATTAGCAGTCTATATTTGATAAATTCTTTTTCATTCTTGACACATTGACTTGAAGGCATTTCATGATGTGGAAAAACAGTCTTCCATACAATCCTCAAGGAAGAAAGATTATAGGTACCACAATTTTAAGTAAGACTACTAATTTCACAGTTTTATCATGCAGATAAAATATTAATACATTGTACAGTATTAATACAGTACTGTTGCAGTATATTCTAGATCTGAGGGACTGTTTTAAGAAGGGGAAATAAGTGTCCATTTTATCTGTTCCAACAAGACCTAAACAAGACACTAGAATAATAGGTCTAATTTCCCTTGCATCTCACAAATATATCTGTACTAGTTAAGCAAGATTTAGTCTGTTACTATGAATGATTAATGAGTGTAATGGGAGCCATGCTTTCATACCTGGTTTAAAATCTTAGCTGTCTTGGCAAATTATTTCTCAGTGGCTTAGATGCATATTGTGATAAGTTACTGAAATATTTCACTTGCCTTCCAGATTTTGTTAAGTGTTAGAAAATATATTCCCTTTTTTTAGATTGGAAGCTAAAGGATCTATACCCTTTTTTCATTTCACATCCAGTTGTTATTTATCATTTATGGTATCTACTTAATNTGCTGAGTAAATTCAAGATATTATCAGAACTTCTTTCAAGCAAGCACAATAGAATTATTAGATTTTGATTTGTTTCAGTTCTGATGCCAAATTGTGGAATGATACTACAAGGAATTTTTTCATTTTTTATTGTGAAAGTGCAATGTTTTTCAATTCAAACATTATGAAAAAATCTTATTGTTGATAATCATTAAGTTGCTTAGCAATTCATATTATATGATATAGGGCGGACATTTGATTCTGTGAACATAAAAGGGAGATTTTAATTGAAAAAGTGTTGTATCGGTGATATTTTATGTGCTGTTTTCATTTGTAAAAACCGCTTTGCAAAGGCTGACCTATCAAAAAACAACTGACCATGTGTGCTTTAACACAAAGAAAAATAAGTTTTAAAACAATTTTTTTCTAGCCTGCACAGATTTGTTTAGTATTGACAGAAATTTTTCCTTTTTTTTAGATGACAAGGAGATAAAAACAATAGAAGGTGTAATAACAAGATTTTGTCCGGATTATGGGATGATCGATGATTTAATTTGCTTCACCAAGGATGCTGTGATAAGGAGTGTGCCACTGCAAGTCGGGCAGAGAGTAATAGCTCACGTTGAAGAAGATAAAATATCTCATGGATTTAGAGCAATCAGGGTGAGGTTAAAATAACTGGAGATGCTTCTTAAGCTTTAATTGTTTAAAATCACTGTTTCTCAAATTGGACCACTGAAGGAGGCTTCGGAGTTATAACAAGGAGTCTGTGATATGGACCAAAGAAGAAAACAAGCAAGCCCAAAACTCACCTACACAGTTCTTCTTCTTGCCAGTACAGTGAAGGTACTTCACTGCCAGTAGTAAGATGGAAGGGAGAAACAGAGGACAGGAGTAGAAAGCCCCAAAAGGAAAGAGTATCTCAAGTTCCAGTTGGAAATTTTTTGAACCTCAACTTCAAAGGCCATACCAATAGCTTGTTCCAGCCTCCTGCCACAGCAGCAGAGTTGAGAAAGAAGCACCTTCAGCTCCAGTCAGTACAGTTCATCTTGCATAGGCTGCCAGCATTCCTTCAAGAAGGCTCTTTCCACTGCTTAGTGGCTACCGTTACTGGCAAACACAGAGATTTGTGGAGGACTCCCAGAACACCAGGCTGCCTCTGCCTGTTTTATTTACACACACACACACCACTTATTTTCATATACAAATCAAGACAGTGAACACACCATTATTCCTCCCTCCTTCAGTTTTTCCCNATACTGCAGTGCTGCACTCTAACCACTGTGCCACTGCTTTTTTGATGGTCTGCCCCCAAATGTTATCTCCACAACAACTCTTAAGGGCTAACCAGCATGGTCTGAAAATGATTTTGCCCCAAATAATGGATTTGCAGTGTTGTGAAGATTACAGTTCGGTTTTCCCAGTTAACCTAATGCAACACCAACTGCATTGGATTGCTTTCTGATCAAGACTGGGGAATCTTTGGCTCTTTACAAAATATGGTGTTTTCTGTCCAGCGTAATATGAAGATCAAAGAGTCATTACCTTTCTTTATATTTATGCCTATTCCCCAAAGTTATAGCTGTCGCAGCACCCCTTGGTCACATGATCAGAATTGGGTGCTTGATAACCTGCCTGTGTTTATGACCTCAGGGTGCTTCCCCACCTGCCCATCTCTGTTGTTTTGACTGTTCTGCACAGTGCCATGTGGCAGTAGCATCAGTGGCAGTAGGGCTGAAATAGAGGCTGAGGCCCTTCAACAGTTTCCGTCAGCCACCTCCACCAGAGTTTCTATTTCAGCCCTAGTACCACTTCAGCCACTATTGAGTGCTGCCTCAAACCCTGCAGCCAGCCACCGCAGCGGAAAGTTCTTTGTGCTTCGCTGGCTGTACCACACTCAGCTGGCCATAACTGGCTTCCTCCCACTGCTGATGAGGCATACTCAGCCCGGCCCTATGTAAAACAGCTGCTTGCTGCACTAAGCCTTTTTCCCCGAGACTTCAAACACCATTCTGCAAATTGTACATGTCCTCACAGTTTGGAAAACGGCACACATGATTTGGAGAAGAATATGCCTGGCTGGTTGTGGCATGTGGTTTCAGGCTCAGAAGAGGCACTAGCAATGCTGCTGGCTGAAATGGAGGCCTTGCAGCAATGAGGGCCAGCTGAGATTGCTGAAAGCACCAGGCCTGTACTTCAGCCCTGGTACTGCCACCATCACCACAACCAAGGAGTGCCATTGTGCGGGGCATAAGGGCAGAGAAGTGGTGGGGATGGGCAAGTAGAGGGAGTTCAAGAAGAAGCAGCCCCCTGCCTTACTGAGACTTGGGCCTCGGAGGGACCAAGCCAAAGTGCTATTCCAGAGGCTGTGACAGAAAGGGCATGCTTCCTTGATCCCACAAGATGGCAATATTTAATTGAGGGCATCTAGAGAATATCCACTCTGCTGTAATGTACTGAGGGCCAGAAACAATTGGAAACAAATATTCTCTCAGGTATACTGCCCTTAGGCCACACAAGGCTTCATGATATTAATACATTTCATAGTGGATTTGATTTAAATACAGTTGATTTAAATCACTAGTAAAAAGCCTTGATTTAAATCATCTGTCCCACAACAGCAGCTCCTCTGACCAGCTGTTGACTCACCCAGTCCCAATATTGCAGAATAAACAGCCTCATCTTACATAACTAAGCTCCATTTCAGGCTGAATAAACTAAATTATTAATGTATCTTAAATGGAAAATTATCTTTAGATGGATTTTTACTTTAAAAGCATTTTACTAAAATAAATTTGATAAAAATTTTAAAAATCCAATTTACATTTTTAAAAATCCATTTTTTCCCATTTTTAAAAAAGAATTATTGATTTTTATCCGCCCTAATACATTTGTATGAATGACAAAAATTAGGAAATAATCACCTCCAAAAACCTAATTAGATTTTTATTGGGAGATAGTGTTAAATGCAAACTTTTTAAAAGACATATTTGAATACACTAGTTATATGCAATTCTTATCCGGACGTGCAGAAGCAAATTTCCTAACATTTGTATTTTTGAACATATCTTTATTAAAAACAAAATTTAACAACAATAAAGATACTTCATTGTTATTTTCTCAGACTGTCTCTTACTTTCTAAGAAATACATTGGCATTTAAATTTTTTATTATTTTTGGATATAATCTGCTTGTTGCATAATTGTTGCATAACCTGTCTTATTTGTCACGTAATGTTTACTAGCTTTTAGTAAGTATATTTCTAAGAAATACAGTTCTTAGAACTGTAATATTACTGCATCCCACATGGCTGATGTTCTTGAACTAGAAGCTGTGAATACTGTTTTTCTCAGAATAATAGAAGTACATATTCTTAACGGGGAGTCTGAATTTAAATCTAAATTAGAGAAGGCAGTCTATCCTCCCCAGTATTCTTGATAATAGAGTGGGAGGGAAAATTAATCTAAACGCTTTAAGGGATTCAAGATTGCCTATCCCAAATCAAGAACTTTAATTTTAGAATACTTTAAGGAATATTCCTTGAGAAACAATTCCCAACAAAGCTAGTCTGTAGCAGTAAAAAGAATAGATTTCTGTCACTTTAAAAAGTAAAATTAAACTGAAATAGTTTAGTTTTGGGGATTAATTGGCTTTGGAAGCCATTAGTGTAGAATAGGCTTTGTAGGGTATTGCAGGGTTTAAATTGTAGTCGTGTTTAAACATTACAAGTCATGTTGTAGTATAGTGGAGGAAGTGACTTTAGCAACCACATATGTCCTGGAGAAAGGATAAATGATACTGAAAGAAAGCTGGGTTAAGGAGCTTTCATATTAGTTCCAGAAAAAAACGTCATGAGAGATTTGATTTGATTGGTTGAAAACTTTACCTTTAATAACCATTTTGTGATCACAGAAGCTTTGCAAATTTTCAGCTACAAAAATGTAACTGTTAAGATATTGGGTTATACCCTTAAGAAGCCCAACTAAAGCCAAGAAACTCATTGACTGATTTTCTCTGCTCAGCCATCCTTACAATGTTCTTTGGGGAATTGTGTGAAAATGCTCGGTAAGTTGCCTTAAGCGCCTCCAAAAAAGGAGAGACATAAATCTAGTAAATGAATAAGAATAAAAATCAGTGCTGGCAAAATATGTGTCCAGTTAATTCATAACATGATTCAAGTAGATCAGATTTCTTAGCAATATATTTGTGATCAAGATTTGTGATTTACATGCATTTCTTCATTCCTTTGTGTTGCTGTGTTTGATGAATAAATGCAGTATAACGCATTGCCTCGTTTCAGGATATAAGGATATATATTGAGAGTCAGTTTGGTTTAGTAGTTAAGATATTATGCTATAAACCAGGAGGCTGTTAATTCTGGTCCTGCCTTAGGCACAAAAACCCTCTGGGTGACTTTGGGCCAGTCTCTCTTAGTCCAAACCACTACAATCACCATTATTGGTTGGGAAAATTGGAGATGGAAGGAGTACAGTTTAGTCCTCAACCTACGACCACAATTCAGCTCATTTAACGATCTTTATTGCCACAGTTGTTATCTGAATCACTTGAGTTGTTAAGTTAGTATCACAGTTGTTAAAGCCAATCTGGCTTCCCCATTGACTTTGCTTGTCAGAAGGTCACAAAAGAGAATCACACAACCCCCCCAGGGTCACTGCAACAGTCATATATACATACTAGTTGTCAAACATCTGAATTTTGATCTCATGGTCATGAAGATAACAACTGTGGCAATAAAGATCGTTAAATGAGCTGAATTGTGGTCGTAGGTTGAGGACTAAACTGTACTCCTTCCATCTCCAATTTTCCCAACCAATA